TAGCTCTGGGCCAACAACATGGACTATAGGCGACATGCTCTTTCCTAGTAACTCAGGCCTTTGCTCCTCCTTTAAACTAAGATTTTTTACATCATCTGACCTCTAATTAAGGCTAGAATCACTGCCATGATAATTAACCCTATTTAAGTCTGAACCATGACCCTTAAGGACGTCAAAAGGCACTTGCTTGACAATAGGGGATTCTTCGTTAACATCGACGAACTTTGAGCCTGATCTCCTTCGACGATTAACTGGCATTATAAGCGAAACAACCAAATATTTCCAGAAAATCCGCGAACGATTACCAAAGGATTTCGGCCAATTAAAAATTGTTTAGAACTGTAGGATCCAAACTACGGTTTGGATGTTGAAGAATAGCCGACTGGGGATTTTAGACACGCGCCCTTTCCCGTCGAAATCAGAACAAGTAATCGGGTAACTAGCGGTTCTAAACAAATATTATCACCCGGCTATTCAACCAATGATTGTTCAATTAATTAAATCAATCACAACAAATCAACGTTATTCTATCCTGGCTGGATAGATCACACACAACAGGATAAACAAATCAATATGGCTACCGCCAAGAACAAGTGTCAAGTAAAACAACACAGATGCAGTTCAGGAAGAAACACAAACTTAGTGAATGCGTAAGAAAAACAAAAACTATAATAAAAAATACAAGTATTAACAACTCAAATGTAATCAAAATACAGCAATGTACAACTAAGAAGATCAATAGGAACAAAGTACAAGTATATACATGGAGGGATTTTCACCAACACATAAAACCTTCCAAATGGATCTTACAATAGACCTAATTCTAAATTTGTAGATTCGTCATGATATAACTGCCTAATCTATAAGATCTTACATGGAAGTCACACCATCGACTACATCAACTCACTGTATCGTATCAATTACCAGTACATTATGTAGAACAAGGTTAGGCTAGAGAAAGAACTATACATTTAATATGAATAGAAGATATAAGATAACATTCAGCAGGGACCACGCCTGCATGGCCGAGCCATACCGTTCGATCAACTGTGATTAACTCCGTTTAATTAATTATTCGCGCCTTCTCCACCGTTAGGTGTTTCTTCGCGTTAAATATTGACTATTTTTTTTCCGAGTAATCTCGTATTCAGCTTTGAGGATTGTGTGGTTATGGTCCAATGCCACTACAAATGAACGGTAGTTCTACAAATCGACTTGATGTGATTCATTTTACAACACTCGGAGCATATAGTATGACGAAGTGCACACGAACTACATGAATGAATTTTACCATATGACGAACATTTACCGAACTCGTGCTCACCCTTGTTTACTGCTTTGCAATTCTTCGAGAAATTGATTCTCATGTTTTAATGCAAATGGGGATAATCGTTAATTGAACGCCTGTCCATATGAGCTTGAGTACTAAGGATATTAGGACAACTAAGTACTGTAGTGAAATTCTTGATATCCTGGAATCCAGCTCCCTTCTTCTGAATATATCAGTTATTTTCATAATATGTCTTCAAACCCGTTTTGTCCATAACTTATTTGTGACTAGGTTTTGTATCTTTCATTTATAAGCTTTTTGTGAGCAAAAGCGGTGTCAAACACTTAATATTGAGGACATTCCTAAGAATCTTGAAGTTTAGTGCTGTGTGAATCATCATTCAGAGTCCTATCTTATGTTATATATTTATTATTTATCTCCACTAGAAACTCAGTTATGCGGCCTATCTTTTTGTTGACGAATTAAAACTATGAATAGATATCAATTTTAAAGTGTTTATAAAAATTAAGAGATTTCTCTAAACACTGCGAACGCGAACAAGTAGAAACGGTTAAATTTCAACGTTCTCGAATATCATATTTGTAATGGCATTGAACCTTAACCACACTACGCTCAAAGCTAAACACGAAACAACTGGGAAAATAGATATTCAACATTTATCGTGGAGAAAACCCAGCGATGGAGAAGGAAGGAACAATGAGTTGAATGAGTTCAAATTGATCTGATGGCATGGTTCGGCCGTGCAGGCGTGGTCTAACTTATGTAACGTTATTTTTATCCATATTAACCATATTGTTCTGTATCCAGTCTGAGTGTGTTCTCTATAATATATTAGTAATTGTTACGATATGATGAATCAGTGTAGACAATGATGTGACTCCCACGTAGGACCTTATAGATCAGACAGTTACATCATGACAAATTTACAGTTTTAGGATTGGTTCTATTGTTAGAGCAGCACCAATATCATAGTAGACCATAGTTCTACAAATTGCACAAATCTATACTCTTAAAAAAGATGGACAGATAGGCCCAGTTTTATTTACGAATCAGTCGGTATATCAACTGAGCCTGATCTTTGCCTGGTACCGAATAAAAAAATAATCAATCCAATGTGAATTCAAAATATAGTAAGTTTTATTTATAGGCAATAGTGTTGATTATACGGACAGTTGAATTGCTGAGTCTAAGTATATCAGTGGTATTCGGAGTTTGAAGTTTTTACACATAACGCCTTTATAATTGAAGGATATCAGTTCAGTCAAACCAGAAGTCAGAAATTTAGGAGTCCGGAGATATATTTCGAAAGCTATTGATATATCGATAGATTTGGTTTAACTTCGCTATTAGATGAAAGGGATGTGTAGCACGACGTACCTACTCGTGATCTGGTTCTATCGCCTGAACGAACGCCTTCAGCTAGGGTGTCTTCAGTAAATATAGTGATGTCAGCGTAACTGTTTAGTTTGAGAATCTACTTATCACTACATCTCACCCACCCTAATAGGGTGGTGATGGCATTAAGATGTGGACAACCAGAAGTTTAAACCCCACGAGCTTGCATTTGGTGAACACTTTTCTGATAGTTCTTATGTCAAGCAGCATGCGGTTGCCGTTCCTTGACTTAAAAATCCATGTACTATACTCACTTTCTTACGCCTGTTACTCCAAATGGAGCATAGACGACCGACCAACATTCTCCAACTCATTCTGTCCTGGGGCTTCTTTTCTAATTCTATCCAATTTTTATCCATTTCTCTCATATCTGTCTCCATTTCTCGGCGTAATGTGGTCTTTGGCCTTCCTCTTTTCCCTCGGCCTTGAGGACTCCATGTGAGGGTTTGCCTTGTGACACAGTTGGGTGCTTTACTCAATGTATATCCTATCCACTTCTGGCGCTTCTTCCTGATTCATTCCCCTGCTGAAATCTGGTTTGTTCTCTCCCACAATAGATTGTTGCTGATAGTGTTTGGCCAACGGATCCGAAGTATTTTTCGTAGACAACTGTTAATAAACACCTGTATCTTCTTGATGATGGCTTTACTAGTTCTCCAAGTTTCCGCCCCAGTAGACAGTAGAGCTGTCTTGATATTTGTATTGAAAATCTTGACCTTCGTGTTGGTTGACAGTTGCTTTGAGTTCCAGATGTTCTACAGTTGTATATATGCTGATTTGCTTGGCCGATCCGCGCCTTCACATCTGCATCAGATCCACCGTGTTCATGAATGATGCTGCTCAGATATGTAAAGGTATTTACATCCTCTAACTCTTCTCCGTCAAGTGTGATTCGATTGTTGCATGCTGTGTCGTGTAGAAGAATCTTGCTTTCCCCTTTGTGTATATTGAGACCTACTCCCGCTGAGGCTGCTGTTAAACTGGTCGCCTCCCCCTGCATTTGTTGTTGCGTGTGTGATACAAGAGCCAGATCGTCCAGTTGCATCCTAGCTGTCCAGTGTATCTCATGCTTCCCTTCAGATGTTGACGTCTTCATGATCCAGTTGTTCACCAAGAGAAAGATAAAGAGTGAGAGTAAGCAACCTTGCCTGACACCTGTCTTTACTTCGAACAAGTCTGTCAAGTGTCCTCGATGCACGATTTTGCAGTTTAATTCATCATAGGAATTCCGTATGATACTGAATATCTTTTCAGGCACGCCATAGTGTCCAAGAAGCTTCTATAGTGTTGTCCTGTCTATGCTATCTAATGCTTATTCGCTAAAAACACTGAGCGAGCACATTTGGTATAAATAACAAAAAAAACATGTGAATTTTGTCAGTTTTCTCGTCTTATCTGATCGTCGTACGTGCAGTACTTGTTAAAGTGTGTAGGATTAATTTGTCCTACAGATATTCTACTAGAAATGTAAACGCAATATTGACGACTCAGAGTCTATACAAATGCCATAGTTAGAACATGGACCACTTGGCTTTTGACTTTATCTGTTTCTAAACGTAAAAATTAACCGATTGGTACAATATTTAAAGGAATTATAGTCATTAGGTGAAACTCGTAAACATACCTACCAGTATTGCGTGTCTTATCGAAATGAATAAAAATTATGGGTCATATAATAGTACAGTGATGTCCTTCACTAGGAAGGTCACATGCAGCAGGGATAGTCTACGGACACATCAGACGAGATGACGTGGCGGGGGTTTAAGTAACGATTCTATTGGTTGGTTATGGGCCTAACTAACAAAGCGTTCTAGAAAACTTACTCTTCCTCTAAAGAACGTTGTTTTGGGTCGGTTATCGGATGTTAGAAAAGTTTATCTGCGGTCAACAATTATTAGCTATGGCAGAGTAGTCATCGAGTTTCTATCGTTCTATTGTTTAGGAGGGAAGTCAACATAATTAAGATTTCTTTCTAAATAAGTGACTTTAAGGTATTCTATGCTAATGTAATCGTGAGTTCCACAATTGGTTTGTACCGCTTATTGACCAATCCACCTAATGCTCACTGTAACGGCGATCTTCTCGTTTACCAATGACATAGTGACCATGAAAAAACATCTCGGATCTTAATCCTCAATGTCCTGTGGTTCCATCTGAACCACTGCCTAAATAGATAAAAACTTTTAGGCCAATGGTGTTATTTATTGAGATTCTTCATGTTATGATGTCTCTGAATATGACGACTTCTTAAGTTCGACAGCGACATTTAGTTTGAAACTTTCTTGACCTTTGCGCGAAATTCACATCAAGGACGATGTCACTGTTCGAGTCTTATGAGAAACAGTATGGAAATCTGACTAGCGACATAACATTCAAGCTAGGAAAAATTCCCCAGTTAAGTGGTGGTATGTTCCGTAAAACATTTTAGACTTTTGATTGATAAACCATTAACTTTATCTACTATGTCAGGTGAAAGGGCGAAAGAAGTACATGATGTGTCAATACTTTTTGACGAGACAAAGGAGTTAATTGAACAGATGTCTCTGGAAGTTCAGGAAATGCGATCTGACATCCGTCCCAAATTTCAAAATAGGCTTGAGTGTTACCGAAAAGAATTAGGAAAACTCACGACAGAATTCGTAAGCATTTTTCTAGTACTTAAATATTTTTAAAATTTTCTGCCTTTTCCTTATTTTATTTCTCATTTGGCTTGTGATTCTTTATATCTTATGTAGTTGTGCTTCATTATTATGGCTGCTCTTGTACATACAAAAGTATACTGTACAGTATACTCTTAGGTTTATTCATTCTAGAATTAGTAATAATTAAAAACTTATATCTTTACGCAAATTGTGTTTAAAAGATCTACTGTGAACAATCGCTTATTGACGAGCATTAATTGATAGACATCCTGCACCTCACATAATGGTTCTATCAGCTTGTGTCAAGAAATAATGATTGTAGTCGTTCGACTTGTATAACTTTTCAGGAAGTATGTTTCTCTCAACCCTCAAGAGATAGTTTTTTCTGAACAAATTTCACATATAAAATGTAATTATTGCTATGAAGTCGGGAAAACTAGAGGACACCTGGATGAAAAAATCTTATAGACTGCCTGCAGGCAGTTGGTAAATCACATGTGATTTAATGCATATATATATAATAAAAAAGCAAAAGAAAAAAAGTGGATACACTTCTTATATGTGGATCATTATTTGCCTTAGTTCGGAATTATATACAGGGTTTTTATCACGAACTGACATCAGCTATAATGCCAGAAATTTATTTAGCCAAATGGATAAAGGCTTTCCCACCAAAATCCAAGATATGTTATCTTATACCTGACTGACTCGTCCATAAACTATAGTCTCGCAGTTTTATTTGTTATAGCCGCTCAATTATCACGTTTTGTACAAAATTCCCTGTGAGTCGATCGTATGTTAGCATTAAGCACTGAAGTTGGCGCCGTGACCTTGAAATCTCTCAGACACTTCTGATTGGCTCGTCCATCAATTAGAGTCTCGCCCATTTATCTAATTTTTTCTGCAGTATAATAGAGATCATTCGATAGTTTGACTCATCCCAGTTACCTTCCATATGCTATACGGGGTGATGACAATAATCATTCTTGAATCATTTACAACCATTGGCTAAGACCACGTTCCAGAGTTATCTATCAGGCTTATGTAGTCCTTGTCTTGACACACAAATCAATAGCGTATAATATGCGACTCAGGGTATTGTTTGTGAAGTGAAAGAATTTTCTGATTTTATTATGTTCCTAAAATTGCTTTTCATGCTTTCGGCTTGCTGTTCTTTGTTGACTGACTGGTTTGATGAGACAGTCGAGTCATTAATTATAGAAATATCTGTGGCTTATGTATTCAGTTATTGATCGATGCCTCGGCTTAGCCGTATAACTGAATACCTCATATTTACCACCCTTATGTATCTTTCGTATAAGTTGTTACGTATTTGTACAATATTAAGCATAAAGATACTGCACCTCTCATCATGCAACCGCATCAGTCCCAGTACACGGATATAATGAAAAGCATAAACTTTAAATTGTCAAAATGTGAAGTACTTCTAAAGAACTAAAAGGAACCCGTTGCAGTGTTCACAACGTTTAACAAGCCACTAAAGATATTCTCAGGTTCGTGTAAATGGGTAGCTTTTAAGTACTGATTATGGTGGCAGACGGAATCACTTTGCATGCAGCCAAAATCAAAACTATTTGTATCCATAAGATCTACCTAAGGGTTCACCGTAAAGTTTTTCTAGTCACTGGAGACTAAGTGCACAAGTGCGTGGTCTAGAAAGTTGTATTAATTGAATTTTAAGTCTAGTCTCCGAACCGAGGATTTTCGAGTACTCTCTGTGTCCTATCATCATTACCTCATAAGTTTTAGTTGTATCCAAGTTAACGTCGTGTTTTTAATTCTGAAGTTCTGTAATGTATGTCTAAGGAGTGGGAAAAGTCTTAGAACACTGTTGTCTTTGGTTTAGTGATGTCTAACGTATAACTCAGCGTCTCCATATCGTTTGTTGTTTGAGGACGCTAGGATGGTGAGAAAAGTAGTAGGTACTAAAGTTATGAAATACCATACTATATGGAAGTGTTTGTGACTCATGGACGCTAACTTCGTGTGACAAAAAAGACCAGTTGAAATCCGTTCAGTACTAATAACCTTGAGTCAACTGCTGAGTTCTTATTGATCGACCACTCTCTGGCTTCTCTTCACCCTGTAATTAAGCCCAGAAATCAGTGGCCAGCTTCAACTATGTATGTTTCAAACAAATATTTTATAAACAGGTAGACCAGACCGTATCACGCCATAAAATAGTAAACAATGATTACATATGAGCAAGCTGAAAGTGGCCGCGAGTAAGGGAGACTGCGAATAATAAACTAGCGTCTTGTTTCTTACGTCAAGCTATTCCCCACACTCTGCCCCATATTCATCATCACAGAAAACAGTCCATATTTTTCAAGACTGAACTTTATTGTTTCCTTTGGTTGTGATTGTAGCGAACTGGTTTCGTTTTATTTTGTATAAAAGATATCTATTTAACAACAGCAAAATGCTCCGACTCAACCTTATTTGCAGATGTTTTCATACTGCTTGATATATTGTGCCACTGATCACGTGTACCTCCATATCACCAAATATTCTAATTATTATGAATAGGCTTATTTTCCTTTTTTCTCGGACCTGTTCCTTTCTCATGGTTTCTCTTGTGGAGTTAGTTCTAAACACCCAGTTTGATAAGTGTTAGTTACTTTCGGCAAATGTTTCAGCTGAATTTAGAATTTTCAATCACGTCTTTCGTTTAATTACGTTCTCATACATATTCAACAGGCTGATTCTGTGCTATAATGTCATTTTAAGGCTTGGTTGATGAAACCGTCGGATTATAGTATATATACCGACACAGTCAAAAATCATATATATTCTGGTTAGTATACCATTCACAAAAAATTCAATGCAAATAATTTTTGGGAATGTATACGAGTGCTATACTTTCTGTAAACTATACGTTTATGACACTCGCTAACATGGTTATGTTTTTATTAAATAAGCCTTCAAACATAGTTAAAAGTTAGTAATTGCGTCGAAGTTAATCGATCTCTTAAAGTTATTTTCCGAAAATTGTATGAAATGTATATTGAATTAAAAACTATTTTCCACTTCTTATAGACTTCGGTTATTTATCATATATTATATTTTAGTGCTGAGCTAAACGAATCCTTAAATAATATGCAATATGCTTACGTACCATTCAATTTTCCTTTGCATTATTTCTTCTACTTTTTCAAGCGGCGACCGCGGTATGCCGTTCGGCGCCCTGACCATAAGGATTCACGCGGTTCCGATGATGAGGACAATTTACACGAAGAGGTTTTGTTTGATACAGACATGAGAGCTCAACTTCTGAACAACACTGAACGAATATCTCGGACTACTACCAAATTGGAAGATGGTGTGCGAGTTGCTTTGGAAACAGAAGAAGTAGGTGGTCATATACTACAAGACTTAAGCGAGCAACGAGAAAAACTTCAAAGAAGTAGAGACAGGGTGAGTTAATTCGGTTTTTAATCATATTTTATTGTTATTCATTATCATTATAATCGACCTGTTTAGCAGTTTACTTCTCGTCAAAATTTGGCAATTAATTGTAATTCAGTATATGTATTTGTCTAAACGGACTTTTTTAAAAAGCGAAACAAATGAATAGAGGATTGATAAAAGTTAAGTAATATTACATTTTTCGTAGTAAAAAGAGTTAACTATGGATCAATTACCACAATTATTTTGAAGTGGATTCGCAATTTTCTCGTATCTGCATCTCTGATAACTGACTAATACTGTTTATTATTCAGCAACCTGTTAAATAACGTTTACTTAATCATATACCGAAGGATATATGGTATACATTTACCAAAAACCTCGGACTTTCATGTGAAGCATAACTCACATCTCTTGTCAAAAATTAAATTGGTGTATTTTCTGTGTTACAACATCACAAGATGTATCTGGATAACCAGAATCAGGCTTTACCTGTTGCCACTTACCAATATGTCCTAATGATGTACATCCTTTGTTCTCAGTCCCAGCCTAACGTCAACATAGTCTACTTAATCATCTTAGTCAATCACTCAACACTGATAACCCTTTATTTCTTCTTAATCACTTAACATAACGAGAGCGTAACTGTAGGTGTAATGTAGACACTTCTAGTGATGAAATCGTGTTGCCCCGCATCTCATTAAAGGAAGTGACAAGAATCCAACTCCTTCAATTTTTTAGATGAGTGATTAGTATTGTAGTTCAAGAAGCATTGGTCTTATATATCTGAAGATCTCTTTCATCTTTCTTTTGTCTTCAATGATCTTGTGTACTACTTCGAGGATTTATTGACATAAGAAGACATTTGATTGAAATCTCAAGAGAACAGAATTTTCGTGGTAGTTTACACTGCGGTGCATTTTGCCCAAATGATGTTGAAAATATATGTTAAATAGTGATTAGTAGTCAGAAGTTATACTATCTTTACGAATTCATCCTATTAAGTAGCTTTTTACAGCCCATTTAATCAGAAGCATTGTGAAAACTTATTTATTATCCTTCACTTTACTTTCACAGCTTCGTCAGGCAGATTCTGATCTGAAAAAGAGCTCTCGAATACTTTCAGTAATGACTCGCAGGTAACTATCATTTTTTATTTTTTCAACAAGTCATAGGCATTTTCGTTCAGAGACAGAAACTTTGTTAGTTGTTTCACATATTACGCGCCGTTAACCTATTTACTGACCAGTTTTTCTTCTAATGCATGAATTTGTTACTCATAACAAATTATCCACGTTTACGGTCCAGAGTTTTTGTTGGGATTTGATAGAGAAATAAAATCATGTGTAATATTTCCTAGTCCCTTTGGTTTCACCAGCTCATAGATTGAGGCTTTGTGCAGTTATAGAACTTAGTTCTGTACAGCTAGAATATGAGGCCATTCTTCTTGAGAGCAAACTGAAAGGCAATGTAGTGAAATAGGTTTTTGGTATATATGGTGCTAAACTATTAAGGTTATGTGAAACGGAACCTATGTGAACTGTCTATAGTTACTTAGTACTTTTGTGAAACAGATAGTTAGTTACTTACGAGGTTCTACGTTGTAACAGATACTGAGTATGAATATTATATTGTGTAGAGGGAGTTAAAAAACACGTTGTGTGGATTTTTTTTACTGCTCCATTACATTAAGACTTAAAATTCTTTAAACATTAATATATATTTGCCGCATTTATTGTGGTGTTTTCAAGTGAATTAATACCATGTCACTTAGTTCCGTTTTTAACGCGGAAGGGTTATGATATTTCAACAAATCTTTCAATGTTTATACATACATGAGCCTACATATTTCATACCAATTATAATCTTAATTTCATAATTTCTTATCGCTTACTATAAAATAAATGAATAAGTACATGTTTTAGGATGTCAGTAAGGGATCATTACTGTTGTGCGGATTATGTTGTTTGTTTAAAAATATTCGAGCGTTATTTGCCAACTTCCTTATCTTGAAAATCACTACTGATTGAGGCTAAGAGAATAGCAACAGGCACAAAGCAATCAGAACAGTTAACAAATTACAATGCTTAAATTCTAGTTCAAATCATAGAAAGTTGGGTAATAGTATCACACAAAACGTTGCAGTAGCAGCTCCATTCCTTATCTTGTATTAGGGAAAAGTTATTCGTTTATAGTTTGTATATTTCTTTTTTGAATTTTTCTAGTCTGCATTTGGCAGTCATCTGCTTAATATTAAATGGTGTTAATCAAATAAGTGGCATACATACACTTCAGGACATAAAATTCATATGTAAGCAGTCTAGTTATTTGTCATTAGGTTATGTACTTCCTCCTCATCTGTGATTCTAGATTATTTTCATTTTCTTTCCCTTTTAGAATTCTTCAAAACAAATTCCTTCTAATCACTGTGATATTTCTGATTGTGTTAATATTTTTCTTAACCATATATCTGGTCACCCGTCGTGCGACAACACACGCGAACTCGTCTTCTGCTACAATAAACTCATCTCACCCATGACATGTAGTTATGTGTTTATGTTTCTGTAGGTGGTTCTTTTTACACCTAAGCAGACAAAGTGGTTTTTATTATTCATAACTATCTCATTTTGTACTCCGGTATAGCGTATCTCATCACAGTACCTATTCTTTTTTGAAAAGTTTAATTACAATAAGTTGTACTTCCGAACAAGAATCATCAATTTGCTGTTCATCATTACTTTTTATTTGGTTTCTTCTGTTTTATACCTTATTTCTTCGACGGTTAGTTTGCTAATATCATTAAAAAATGTCATAAAGGTATATATAAGTGCTTTAAATTTAATATACTATAGTGACAAGTGTGCATACTCCGTCTGGTATTTTCGAGACTTTTCTAGGCAATTTTAGTCGCTAATTCGTTGGGATTAACAACGCTGATATTTTCAATACATATATCTTTCACTGGACGTTCGTAATGAGTCTGGACCTCTTCCATTTTATCCAGAGTTAAACTTCCTTCAATTACACGCCTAAAACAGAAGATCAACAATATCAATGTTTATCAAAATGTTTACATGTGATGTTAGGTAAAACTGCTGACAATAGAGGTAAACATCGGAACTTGTTAATTAAATCTGTGTATCTTGGTGATCTGTCATCAAGTAATATAAATACTGGTAAAAGGGCAAAAGCATAAACTAGCGAATTATAAAATAACGTTGACTTGAGGTTGATTGAATTATTAACTGGGGTTTCAGTGCAATAAAAAGACATCCAGGTAGCTTACATACAACTTTCCAACTGGTGCTATAATATACTACCTATGATTTAGTGATTTTTGTTGAGTCTTTATCACTCAAAGTAACAAAGATCATATATTATATGTACCTTGTGAGAAATTCAAATAATGTGGGTTTTGTGAGCATAACGGATAAAATCATCTCGTTAACGTCCTGAGCATACATTATAACCTCCTGGTTAGGTTGCTAAATACAATGGTAAGGACGATTTCATTGGGTCTCTGTCGTTTTCTATATAGTGTTTACGTCTAGTTTTTTTGCTATTTCAGGATTTGAGAATTACCAAAGGGAAGTATACTTCTGTCATCATGTAATATGTATTTTTCGTTAATCCTGCATCCATTAAATAGTACAAAATGTAGACAGGAATATTTCGCTGTCGATTCCTTAGTGTGTTTGCTGAAAGTTGACCAAAAATGGTAAAGATACGGGTTCTGTGAATAGTGTTAGAGATAAGTGAAGCGAACAAAATTATGAAATCGTTTAGCTGAATTCGCTATAGCGTTCTTATCACGTTCCACTGTACAATAAACAATCAAAAGTTGTAAGATATTGATTGAAAATAAATCAGACACCATATACCATTTTTTAATTAATAGTTCCAGGCGTCAAAAAATGTAGAAGCTTCAAACTCCAATTGTAAATCTGTCATCGCAACACATTTACAAAGTGCCAAAACTTACCCAAATGCTACGTAGCGGTTATCCATCCATTCAGCTGGTGCCAGTGTAATGAGGAACTGTGAACCATTTGTGTGACGTCCAGAATTAGCCATACTTAGAATTCCGCGTCGATCATGCTTGATGATATAATTTTCATCTTGGTTGGTGGAAATTAGACGTATGGTTTAAAGCTTTTATGAGTGTCTGTGGGAAGAATAATTACTGAAGCAACTTGCTAACTAATAATAATTGATCCCCTGTTTTCTAAAACTCGAGATATTGTTACACTTATCGAATTGGAGTTCCTATGAAAGTGTAAGTTAAAAGCCGCTTTAGTCGCCCACAAACCAAGATATCTTGCCGAATGTCGTCTGTTTTCTTAATTAAGTTGTATTTGTCTCGAAAATACCAATATTCAGTTGTCAGTAATAAGTACATAGGGGTGTGATAAATCGTGCTTATCTCGATTTTAAACTTCTGATAACTTTATAGTATAATCCAACAACTTAGATCACGTCATTTACATTTATTACCTATCAAGACATTTTAGACTTGAAAAGTAAGAATGACAAAGTTTGTACACTGATTTATATTTACTTGGATTGGGTGATGTATTATCCTTGGTAGTTACTTGTCCTTAAAGTTCTCTCGGTACATAACATAAAGTAAATGAGAGGATTACTGCATAGTTCCTTTCATTCTAAATAAAAATGGGATAAGTTTCATATTGATTATGGGTTTGTGAAATTATAGTATCGTGACCTCTATATTAACTATAGATTTAAACATTCCAACGCCCATTTGAAATGAATACTTAAGTAGTGCCTTTAAATTAAACAACCCATACTTTTAATAAGGTGGCTCCAAAGAAAATGGGCTAAATAAGGTATGGTCACCGTTTTTAAATTTAGATTTTATCCAAATGCTTGACTATGCTAGCTAACATTGTATATCCAATTAACTTCGGTGCTACGATTCTCAACAGTGTAAAACAAGAGTCACAACATCAACTGTTAAGGAATAATGTATTTCAACCACATAGAACCAGGAGGCAATAAAAGTGAATTACGACAGTAATAATAAGTCAAAATATATATCCTGAACAAAACAAAGCGCATACATCTAATGGTGTTAGATCAACACACACAAGCCTTCACCATTTGAAAATGTTTATGAATGAACGTTCGCAATTGGTAATGTAAATGTAAAACACAACTACTATTAGAATATTCCCCTGAGCGTGGGTTGTTTGTGTGTCTTTTTATAACTTTTCATATAAATATACACTTGCAGGTGCATAATATGCCGCTGAGAAACATTCCTGGGTTATGAACTCTACTAATTCTAGTTTTTTTCTAGGGTAGTTTAGGGGTTTAGAGAATTTTTATATTACTTCTAACTCTCAGAAAAAAACTAACAGTAATTTCTTCCAGTCTGAACGTGAAAAATATAACGATTGCGAATTTTGTCTGGTATACTTTTACATTTGTGCGACAGCTAATTAGATGAACACGTAACAGAAGGTAAAAGTGTTCTAACAACGGAAGTTTTACATTGTGATTGGTAGTTCTGAACACATGAGATAATTTGCAGTTCATTACGGACTAGCGATCTAGAAACATTTTAATACCAGTTTCGGTATTAAAATACTAGCTATACAAAGTTATACTTTATACCCAGTACATGAAAACGGTCTCTTATGAAGTTAAAAATAAAAAAAGCATGAATGTTTTAGTGGGGAACACACCAATTTAGTACTTGTGAAGGTTAATATTTAATTGACGAAAGTGAATTACCTTCAAATACTGGACCATAGATTGAACGACCATCATTTCCTCTGTTGTACAAAATATCTAAAGCAAAGTAGGTTGCATAGCTATTGTACCTCCACCTTGAATCCATCCATTTCTTACCAAACGGAAAAATTTTGTACCCTTATAATTCATTCTATATTTCTCCACCTCGTTTTTCTTAATCACTCCATACTCGCCAGTACACAATGACCTGAAATTTTCACATGTTTTTGGCACAAAGTCAGAGTATAACTAAGACTTCGATTTCTGAACAAGTTATCATACCTCAAGTAGTAAAATGCCACTCTTCTCCCCATCGATTGATATATGCATGGAAATATATATTCTCTAAATAATTATAGGGTAGTTATTCAACATCTTGTGCGGAATCAGTCTTACATTAAAACGAAGTAGTCTTTTTTTATAGGCATCAACTGCCAATGCGCTGTATAATGTCATAGGACGATAGTCAGTAATGTTGAATTCCCTTTCAGCCCAATTCGCTAGATCCTCTTCCGAACCTAGTGGAACTCCATCTATTATGACCAAAACATCATGATTATAGATCCAGTATGCTCCGCCAAGTTTCTGGATATGATAAATACATATATGAACACACTTTCTTTGTTGTCCTTATGAAGTCCGCCCATTCAAACTCAAACATTCCACATATTCTAGGCTGTTCAAATATTTCATGGTGTGATTCATGAAGATCCTGCACTGATTTATGAAGTAAAACTAATACTCACAGAGGCCAAGAGGCTTGCCTTCTGAAAACTTTCTTTATGAACCAAACCATATATCTCTATAACCATGAAGTATTTTACTGAAATGTGATATTTGTCAGATGCTATGGTTACTGTTAGGTGGTTCAATCAAACGCCTGAAATCATGTTTGCGAAGGTTCAACCGTGAATTCGTCTTGTAAAGATATTCTTGCTGATGATTTCCCTTTTTCTCGAATTTTAGGTACCAGTATAGACTTTAAATTTGTATTGTTACATAAATCATCCATCGCGCGCTATTTAAAAAGGACAGTGGTATTTTTCCTCGCTGAGTAAATTTCATTGTTTTGATCGTTTATTACGTATCAAGACTACTGTTTTTCACTTTAATTGAATTTATTTCAGTTAAAGTATTCGACTAAAGTATCGTTTTTACTGTTCTCTCGTTGGTACTCTAGTACCTCTTTTTCAACTGTATCTGTTAGTACTTTTGGTCCTAGCAATCTACAGCTCTTCACTTTTTTTGGTCATTGATAATTTTTTTGTTTCTGGGTATCATCGCATATTAAAAAACCTCCCAAATGACTGGACAGTGTAAAAAAAGCAGTTGCCGACGTCCGGGTTGTCGTTATCCTGTTGAAAGCGGCATGCAGTGCGACGAGTGCAAAGGCTGGTACCACGAAGTTTGCACGAACTTAACGCCTGCTGCTTTCAAACGGTTCAGTAAGAAGGGTTGTGTGTGGCTTTGTCAACAGTGCTGCTCGGATGCAAACAGCTTGTTAACCGAGGTCATCTCACTGATTGATGCTGCCAAGAAGTGTTTCAACAAGCATAGTCGGAGCGCGTCAAACAGCACTCGATCTGTTGACACGCAAATCAATGTGAAGGAAACTAAGGTGAGTCCGGTGATAGATGACTCACGCCCGTCAAAGAAGGAAAAGCAGTCTCCAAAGGGGCCTGCTTTAAAAAAAAGCTCAAGAAAAGTAGGGTCTTCTGTTCCCCGTCTCCCAGATGGGATCCAACAGGAAACACCTAGGAGCCGCAATCGCAAGTCTCGATCGGTTTCAAATGGTAAACATAACACGACCCCTCAGGTCGTCGACAACCCCCCAAAACCCAACACTAGGTTTGACGCAACTGCTATTGCTTCTACCAGCAGCGTTGACGAATGGGTAAAGGTTGTAAGGAAGAAAAGTATTGATATAAAAGGGAAACCTGCCCCCGCAAAAGTGGTTGAAAAACCGAAAGCTGATCATAGCGACAGATCAGCTATTTTTCATAGAATTAAGGAGAGCGATAGCTCTGAACCTAAAGCTCGTTTTGAGCATGACATTGTACTGATTAGGCAGCTGCTTAATCAACTCATGCCTCAAAATATCACCGGGGTCACCTTGCTAAAGGTGTATAGACTAGGGAGTCTAACGGACTCGAAACCAAATTATTCCAGACTGCTTAAAGTAGTATTCGGTTCTTCAAACGAACGTGACCTAATTTTACAAAATGGACACAAATTAAAGGGTTCAGGAGTCTTTATCCGAAAGGACCTACCGTTGGCAGACCGTGTTAAAAGACGGGAAGCCGAGAAAGAACTACAACATGGGTTAGACGCTGGCGAAAAGGACCTGAAAATTGTAAATTTTCGGGTTGTAAGACTTCGACAGAGAATGATGCCGAAGCCACTCTGGGTGAAGCACGAAGGCACTTAAACAGGCTTCGGATCTGTTACACCAATGCACGAAGCTTACTTAATAAGCGATCGGAACTAGGTGTACAGATTGACTCTATAAAGCCAGATATAATCGCAGTAACAGAAACCTGGCTGACACAGGCTATAGATAGTATAGAACTTGATTTCGAGGGCTTTACGTTAGTAAGGGCTGACAGAACACTAATGCGCAAAGGAGGGGTAGTAGCTCTATTCATTAGGAATGCTATCCCATTTACCAATATCGTTAGTGTATCCCATGAGAGTGGGACGTGTGAATTAGTTAGTCTTCGCTTAAAATGCAAGGGACAAGAGCTGCTGATTGGTTTGGTCTATCGCAGTCCAAGCTGTGAGGCAAATGAGATCCTGTTAAGCAGTCTCAATACTTGGTCCCAAAGTGGTCGATGTCTAATCCTAGGGGACTTTAATGCACCTATGGTAGACTGGGAAAATCTGCGAACTGAATCGTCAGAAAATTCCTTTGAGCAGGAACTAGTTGATGCGGTTATCACATGTGCCCTAGTGCAACATGTGAAAGAAGCGACTAGGTACGACCCGGACACTGAATCATCCTTATTAGATCTTATGCTGACTCACTATGAGGATGATGTTGCGAACCTCCACCATATGCCACCCTTAGGTAAAAGTGACCACGCAGTTTTAACTTTCGACTTCCATATAACTGCCAGTCATGAGGACGCGTCAGTCCAGTCCAGACCCAACGTCTGGAAAGCAAACATACCAGACATCATGCACTCAGCATCGTTAATAGATTGGACAATAGACCCAGAGTCCTCCATTGAAACGGCCTGGGACGCATTTCGAAAATCATACTTAAAAGTTACCACACCTCATTTCCCTTGGACTATACCAAAGGGGCCGAAAAACTCACCACCATGGTTCAGTAGGGAGGTCCGTATCCTTCTCCGAAAATTAAGGAAAACGTGGGATAGATTTAGGTTACTGGGGACTGATGAGTCAAAATCTCAGTATCGAAAGGCTCGGAATACTTGTGCCTCGACCCTCCGTAAGTCTAGAAAATTGTACGAAGAAAAACTTGTTAAGGAATCCATAGAATGTCCTAAACGCTTGTATTTCTATATAAACCAAAGGACAAGGAGAAAAGGAAATATTCCTGCTCTATGGGGAGACAGTACTGCTTCATTTTTAGTGGAGGACGACTTTGGTAAGGCTCAAGCGTTCTCGAACTACTTTAGCAACGTGTATACCATAGAAGCGCCCTTCTCGTCAGCGTATACAGATCCCCTTATACATACACTGGATAGCGTGACCATTAAAGAACTCGATGTCTTTGGTCTGCCAAATAAGCTTGACATAGGTAAATCCACGGGGCCCGATGAATTACATCCTAGGCTACTGAAGGAATTATCTAACTTCGTTGCGAACCCTTTAAGTATATGCTTTAACCTATCCGTTACGCAGGGCCGTTTACCGAAAGATTGGAAAAACTCCATAGTAAGTCTTGTCTTCAAAACAGGCACGAAACACAAACCTGAGAACTACCGCCCCGTTAGCCTAACTAGTGTGGTTGTTAAAATCTTAGAAAAAATTATTCGGAAGGAGCTGTTTACGTATCTCGATTAAGACCGGATTCCTTCTGAAAAGCAACATGGCTTTAGAATATGTTATTCCTGCCTCATTAACTTATTAGTGGCTTGTGAAAGCTGGTGTGCTCTTAAGGACCAAAAGCTACCTGTAGACGTAGCCTTCATTGTTTTCAGCAAAGCTTTATTTACAGTTCCGCACAACCGGCTGTTATATAAGCTAAGAAATGTCGGGATTGGAGGCAATTTATTGATGGGGATAAAAGATTTCTTAGTTGGGCGTCAACAAAGAGTAAGGGTGAACTCAAGGTTTTCTAGCTGGAAAACTTTGCTTAGTGGAGTGCCCCAGGGTACATTTTTGGGGCCAGTGCTTTTCCTCTTGTATGTAAATGACCTTCCTTGTCTCCTATCATCATCGGTCTTGCTATATGCTGACGATGTCAAGATATGGAGAACGATACGATGTAAGAGTGATAGCTTAGAACTTCAAAATGACCTGAAGAAACTATCTGAATGGTTTCAAACTTAGCAGTGTTCGATAAATACTTCCAAGTGTGTTGTGATGTATATCGGTCATCATGGCACAGATATATACACGATGATTAACACTGAGCTACCTGTCGTCCATACATTTAATGACTCAGGAGTCATCGTTAGCCAAGACTTAAAGACTACTGCACACTGCTGTGCAATAGCCGCCAAAAGTTTTAGAACGTTATGGTCAATACGTTGGGCTTTTAGTCATGTCGACACTAAGACGTTTTTGACTTTGTATACAGTTTTCGTTCGTCTTAAACTTGAGTACTGCATACAAGCGGCTAGCCCCTGCTTTAAAAAAGACAGTGAGCTTCTGTAAAAGGTTCAGAGAACGGCGACTAAACTGGTTCCCGCAATAGCGAAGCTTTCGTATGAATCTCGACTGGCCAAGCTGAACCTTTTCCCGTTGTCATATCGCAGAACTAGAGGCGACTTGATTACAGTCTACAAATTGCTTAGTGATAAATTTGCACCTAACATGCCCTCATTTTTTTTGTCTTCCAAAACAGAGAATTTACGAGGACACTCCAAAATTGTTCACAAGCCGAGAACAAATTACTTGTCTGCTGACTATCGACTTTCCTATGGAATCATCAACGAGTGGAATTCACTACCTCAGCACGTGGTTGAGGCTCCATCCGTCGACTCTTTCAAAAGAAAGTTGGATCAACTGAGAGACCACCATTGCCAGTTTTAACATAGGCCATCGAGCCTCCTGTCCTTCCCAAACTGAAACTGAAGTGGATTTGCAAATTTTGATATTAAGCTGATCATTTTAGCTTTACTGGACACACTAGCTAACTACGCCCGAATAACCAACCACCGATGATTTAGATTTGTGTATTAAGGACAAGGCTTACGGCCTATGTCATTCCTTGTTCTAATATGCTTCTGTGAGTGTCCAGTCTTCTCTTGAAAGAGTCAATTGAAGGTGCGGACACCACTGCTTCAGGCAGCAGGTTCCAGATTGATGACTCGGGTGAAAACCTGTATGCCACGGGTATTTTGTTCGTTCTTGGCTTTTCTACTCGCTCGCTATCCTCTGAGGTGTCCCGATAGTGGAAAGAAAGAGAGAGAATAGTTTAGGTCCGAAATCATTTCTCAGTATTCTATACATCGAAATTAGATTCCCTTAATCTTCGATAGGACAGAGTAAAGAGGTCCAGTTTTTGAAGCGCTCTTTGTATGACAAA